TTGAATAGTCTCCGCATTTGAAACCACGGACCTTGACTGTAAGCTTGCGGGTGCTGAGATATGTACGACAGCCTTCGAAGTGCTCTTCGATTTTTTCCTTGTCCCTGCAGCCGTGAATCCTACCGATCTTGTTTCTGTCGTTGTGGTAGCCATCTAGATCCCCAGCGAGTATAATCTCGACTGTGAGCTCCTTCAGGGCGGGAAACTCTGACTGCCAGGCGACGGCCGGATTCTCGCTCCCTCTAAGCTTCTTCAGTGTTGCTCGACGCAGTCTGGAGCTCTTTTCGGTGTCGAGGAGGACATCCCATGAGTACGGGAATTTGTCTTCATTCATCCTTTTCCAACCTAGTCGGCAATCCACGAAGATCTCGATGGTTAAGTTCCGAATCTGTTCTGCGAGAGACGTGGGCGGTCGCGGGTATTGTAGGCCAGCGCTCGGCCAGGAGAGGAGGAATTGGTTCTCTCCCCACGAAATCTTGGCTAGTCTATTCATCTCTTTGCTGGTGAGGAGCAAAGCCTCATAGCCAGCCATTGTTGCACGGATGGGATGAGTTAATTGCGTGAGATTACCATTAATGTGGAGTCGGTGGCCAAGGGTCGCCAGTTTCAGCTCCTCTGGTAAACTGTTCCAAGATGCAGGAGCGGAGGCCTCATCGCACATGCTCGCTAAACTCATTAGCGTGCGAGATGGAGGGTGGTGAAATAGGAAGACTTACTATCCTTGAACGACCCTGCGTTGGTTTCTTTGTCGGCGTTCATGCTGTGGTGTTCTGCTTGGTGGTGGATAAGAGTAGTTGTTCGGAGAGACTGGGGAAGATTGAGGGAGCAAATTCAGCACATATTTATCTGAATGGCCACAGTTGAGCCCGGTACGGTGAAGTCAAGGCAAGCAGACACGTTGCTGAAAGGCGTCAGATTGACTTGGGGTCTACCCATGTATTCTACGCAGTTGTTCATTGCGTACGAGTGAAACGAAGTCAACCCTGCGGACGCTGAACGAGCTTTCACATTGGACGGCCGTGTAGGCTTTGGGTGAATGCACACAGTGCACAAAGGGCGTGCCCATCCCTCTACTACATATAAACCTCTTTCCCACGGGTGTAGTTCTTTCACCGTGCGAGCCGAGAAGCAACCCACCAGCAATCTCAATCAAACACCGTTTTGTTTCATTCATTCGACATCTCGACCTTCACAGCATAGCACATCAGAAATAATTACAGAGCCTATACGAGCCCTTCAAGGCGTCTTTCCTTCCAAGTCTCACGAAATGTCAGCGGAAATGACGCAAACCAATATCGTCCCGTCGCAATTTCTAGCCTTATCCAATGAGCTGTTGATGCAAATTCTTGGATATTGTCTTGTATTTGACAAACCCATCACGGCCCTAATGCACTCAGTGTACATGGTTCGTCTCATTCGACTTGCTAGCATCAACAAACGGCTATACGACCTAGCTATGGATGTCTACTGGAAGGAGAATGAATTTGTCATCGGGCTATCGAAAACGAACACGCTACTCTTCAATCCTCGTAGAGCGATGTATAACTTCATGTATCCAAGTCCGCCAACCGCCTCACTGGTGCGTAACTTGACTTTAGATCTGCGGTTTCAGCCGGAGCGCTACAATGGCGACCCTCGGTACCTTCAAGATATCTTCAAGCTAGATGGCGACTGGCTGTTCCTAGTCCCCAACAGATGGAAGCCGTCCCAGATCCCGTTGACTTTGGGTAAATGCACGTCTGATGACACCCGTATCCCCGAGGGTACCCCTGCCTCAGATCCCGTGCGCTGGCAGCAGTACTTCCACCCCCAGTTGCTCAAGATCATCGTCACTCTTGAAAATGATGGTAAAGACGAGACTTGCTTCATGGCTAGGGGTCGTTATTCATCAGGGCGTTGGTGTGGACTTACACTCAAACAGCGCCGCAAAGATGCTAGAAAGGGGCTCCGAGGTACATCCTGCAACGTCGATGCGAAAAAGATTGTGGTTGAGGTCCGAGGTATGGAATGCTCGGGTGGCGACGGATCGGGTATCTGTGGTGGTTCTTGCGCGAAAATCATCCAAGAGACGTTGCAGCGCATGCTCCGGAAATAGTAGAGTTGTCACTTGGTATGGTTAGTACGTAGTATGGTTGGAGAGCGCGAAGTGCACGAATCTTGGCTTGCTCTTTTACCAATTGCATTACCATTGCGGTCTGCACTTCATTTGCTGCAAGATGTATTTCGTTACTGTATTTATTTTACCCAAATCGCTATCCTACCATTGGTATTAGCTCCTAGCCAACGCCAATCATTACCTACCTATGTCTAACGTGCTTACCATAGCGCGCCGGGGGGGTTCGTAGATAGAGTGTTATTATTATAGCTACCCCTAATATTACTACGTTACTGTATTGCAAGCTAAAGTAAATATTTATGCTATTATAGTGTTAGAATTTAACATAGTAATAGTTTAGAAGAGAATCTTAGAGGCACTTAATAATAGCGTAGTATCCTGCTAACATAGTATTAAGAGCTAGCGCTATTAAAGAGAAAAAGTATTCTACTACTATAGTGTTAAAAGCTAGCGCTATTAAAAGTTATTTAATAGAGTAAAAGCCTTAGTAGAAAGCGCTAGCGCGTTAGTATAGTAAATATTTACTATATAAGCTTATAACTATACTTAAAAGGTATAGCACGCTTATAAATATATATAGACGTCTACTTTATTCTATATCTATACTAGTAGTAATAGTAAAAGTAGTATAGGTAGTAGTAGCAGTAGTAGTAGTTATAGTAGCAGCTATAGAGCTGCTCTTGCCTGCTTACTTCTAATATCTTTAGCCTCTTAATACTGCGTTCTGTCTAACACTATATTAGCTACTTATAGAGATATTGCTTTATTAGCTTTAACACCCTTAACAGCCTTAATAGGCTGTTTAGGATAGTTACAGTAAAGGAACTACTAAGTTACTATACTCTTAACCCCCCCATGCGCGGTACAGTAGGTACTAAGCACCACTTTGGGTGCTGTTTCTCGCGATGCTGTTTGATCGCTTGACCAACTATGTACAACGTGGTCTCAGTTTATTTTAATATCTAGAGCTTGGAGTGAATTTGGGTTCAGCTAGTCCTTCGCCAGCAGTAGCGGGGGTGTGAAGGGGGCTGGCGATTAGATAATCGGGTGATGACGTCACACATCGTCACCTTTCCGAGGTCCCCGTCAGGCAACGCCGGAACCGCAGTCATCTAACTCAATACAGGTGTCGTGCACGCTTATCATGAATCAATCCAATTTCAGTAGTCTACACTACATTTCACGCTTGTTATTTAGTGAAGGTAATATCCCTCGTCACAAACCCTTCGACGCGACGCGTCAATTCCCATTGCGCTTCATCCTCCTCAGGGTTTCGACGACCCACAAACCCCGATCGATCAAACGTGACTACGCCGTCAAACGGCAGATGCACGGGTTCTCCTCGGCGCAATAAATAGCACTCGTCGAAAGACATGGGCCCCCGTAGAAAGTCATTCTTAGCAAGTTCGAGGATTGCTGCATCCTCACCTGACAAATATCTCACTTTGAGATGAATCAATCCCGTGAAACCAGCACGATCTTTTCCCGAAATTGCTCGTAGTATTTGCCAGTCGAATTCACACAGACGAGTCTGGAAAGTGATATGACGGAGCTGAGGCCGTATACTCATGGGAGGCTTAGCCAATATCGAGTTTGGAAAATGTAGCGAGTTGGTGAACTGCATGACGAACTTGTTCTCTTCGTAGAATACAGATTTGGCCATCTCAGCGATGTCTGGTGTCATCCCCAGGTACGGGAACAGCTCCCTGCGTATGACGGTGTTGATGTTTGCTGGCCATAGTGGGGAGGGATACAGGAGGTTGTAACGAAGTATCTCGAGTTTCAGTTCAGTCGGTAACTTGCTCCAGCCCCTTGCGAATCCTGGTGTTGCGGGGCCAGCCGGCGAAATCGTAAGTTTGCTGTCGGATTGAATATGGATCGGTGTCAACGCGTGTATTTGCATCGAGCTGGGTGCTGATATTACCAACGGCTGGGATGAGTACACGGCGAAACTAGCTTGTCTGGGTATTTCCATAGGCCAGTGGATTTCTATCACTTCTTCAAATTCCTCATCTTGCCCTGAAGTCTTTCCTTGTGCATGCGCTGATGTTGTCTCTGGGGTTGGGGCGGACATGGCTCGTGCAGTATGTGCACCTTATTCTCAAGGAGTACTGCGACGATACGATTGCTTTTAGGATGTCTCTGAAAGGTGCGATGAGCCTCAAGAGCAAAGGCTGAGGTTAGTTATATAACTCCATCTTGGTATAAAACTCGGGCTTATATTGGTATCTACTCGCTGTGAAGCTGACTACTCACAATGATTGTAGTACAATTCACAGCGCATTTTTATGTTGTTCGTATTGAATCGTAGTTTACACGGCTCTTGACATACAGCTTGTGAATTCTAGGCGCTCGAATTAAGTCCATTCGAGGCCTCGCGCCTCAAAACTGTAATGAGTGAAGGCTTCAATGCAAATCTGTTCTTTTATTCGAAAAAAAGCTTTCATCTACACGATGGGGTAGACAAATTCCCTGATGGTGGCGTGAGAGAGATATTTCGCGATTCTGTGGGCTTCGGAGTGAAGATTGTGTTCGTGCAATTGAAGCCCGAGTTGCTTTCCGCTTTCTACGCTACTGCCTAATCACTTTCAAGGCGCCTAACCCTTACATATTTGCTTCTTCGCCGTTAGCAGACTGGAGCACCTCAGTTCCTTACAAACCGGGCAATCCACCACGCACTCCCACACTACCCCCTCTAGCTTCTACTTGCCTCTCGAAAATACAAGCCATGGATGTGCTTTACTTCCATACCAGTCAAACGCCATCGCGTGCCCACGCTTTCGGAACTACAGCGCCGCCAGATTGCCCACCTCCATCTGCCTCATGTACGGCTGCGCTTGGTCTGTCCCAAGACTCGCCTCTCTGCATTCGCACGCCGCTTCAAATGCCTGCGGGATCATGGCTTTGGGTCACCGCGCCCTCGGCATTACATGTAGTCAGTGCTAGTACCATCATCAAGAGCGTCACACAATTGACCTGCACCAACGCGGTATATCTCCGACCTCACCACGATACGTGGCTCGTACCTTCACTGCCGCTTGACGTTGCTTTCGCTACTGGCTGGAACAAGCTTCCGACAGAACTCAAGGTCCAAATACTAAGCTACAATTTGTCCTTTCCCGAAACGATCGACCGATGCGAGACAAATATTCTTCAAGCCCTCGACCACCATCTTCGTATATCTCCCGAGATCGCCGGTCTTGCAAAGGAAATATTCTACGGCCAGAACACCTTCCGCATACGGCTCAAACGAATGTTGAGCCATCGTGGCCTTCCTCTGTTTCCAATCGCCCAGAAGTCAATGCGGAAGATTGTTGTAGACGTCCTTATGGGTTCCTTTACCGACTGGGAAACTCTGTCAAAGATCTCCAAGGGGAGCCGCGGACTTTCGAACTTGCGATACGTCAACGTTGTGATCAATTGCCGCGGAGTCAGTTGGAGTCCTCTAAACGATGATACAATCGCGCAGCTTCTTGGGCGTATACATGACAGCTGTGACGAGTCTATCGTATTCAAATGCAAAGGCGAACTTACATTCACCGGTAGGCTGTGGCAGAGCGGCAATATTCCCTCGATTGCCGACGGCATTCAGAAGGTGGAGGCACTCGTGAGGAGTAAGGTGGCGTTTGAAGACGATTCCAAGGACGAGGTTTGAGCAGATCTAAGAGGCATACATATGGAAGGTATGGAATTCGGGCTTAGCAATGCAGTTGCATCAAGTGTGGGGGCGACAGTTATGTGGCGAAAGCGAAAAAGATACTAGACCTCGTAGAACACACCCAACCTTCAAACCCTTGAGAGAGATGAAATGTCGAGCGTGAATTGTATTGCAGTCAACCATTACCGCCGAAGCGTATAATCGGCGTCATGGAAGCTCACTAGCATCTCAGCCAGTTAATGAGCGGAGTAGGGTGTCTGTCTTTACAAAAGACTATATACAAGCTGTGTGTGATCCACGTCCATCGTATCATCTATCATCAACCATACGCCATAACGCCAGACAAGCGCCAGACCATGGATAAAGATACTGCGTATACCGCGGAAGAGTGTGGTGTGAGTTGAGCAAAATGGTAGATATCGGCATAGCCCAATCATCTCTTGTTAAAAATAAAGCGGTGAAAGTAAACAAAAAGTCCAAAATATGATCCACATCAGCACTTGACGGATCGTCCCAATTGCATACCAGAACCATGCAGATCGAGAACCTGGGGGCATGCCAACGTAATCCAATCAGACCCAAAACCATTTACAGCCCTTGCTGCGTGTAAATAAATGCGCAGCCATAATCTAATGTTGAATGTGAGGGGTATGTGATGTGTAACAGTCGTGTCTCGTACGGCTTTGTGCGTTTTCGCAACGTTCGCCAGCTCTATACAGCGCGATGCTGTAGAGTGAAAGGGTCTACATGGAGCCCATAGCAATGAGTGCCTCGATGGCGTCGCGCTCAGCGCCAGAGCCGGCTACACCAGCTGGTGCATTAAAAACGGAAGAAGTCAAAGGAGAGCCCGCGTTCACGACGTGATTACCGTGGGATGCATGTGGAACAGTAAGGAAAGGTTTGTACGTGGGCGTCGCAGCGCGTGCGTTGTGAGGCTGAGGCTGTGGCAGAGAGTGGGCCTGGGCGGATATGCTCCGGTAGCGCGGGTTGCTCGTCTGAGTTCGGCTTAGATAGTTGTAATCGCGGTGTTCTCGGCGCGGACCGCGGCGGGTCTCGCGAAGAGCTTCAGGCCCCATCGTCGCCCAGTCTTCTTGATCCGTGTCGTCGTTAAGTTCTTCCTCCAAATCCATGTCGGAAGCCGAGTCGGATTCGGTGCTGCCCTCGGAGTCGTCCAGCGACATCTGGTCAGCCATTTCTTCGTCCTCGCCCTGGCGGTGCGGCGACCACGAGCCAGCATTCCAGCTGCCCGAGTAGACGTCGCGCTCTTGTCGCAACTTGGGTATTTGGAGGCTGCCCCCGATGCTATCGACACTCGCCGGCGTTGCGCGCCCGTTTCCAGAGCGCTTACCACCGATGGGCATTCCTGCAGCCTGGGCGCCAGAGCCAGCTACACTCCAACGTCCCCAGCCGACCTTCTCGAACTTGACCTCTCCGTGCAAACCGCCGCCGGCGCGATGTTCCAGCGCCGCAACGACTAGCCTACGGGCCTTCGCAGGGGGCAGCCCAGAGAAGCCAGGCACCGCGTGTGTCAGATGCGCCATCATCTCGCGGATGGGCATTGCGCCGTGGCCTTCGATGATGTCTGGCAGGTGGTGCTTGGCCAGCATCAGCGCCGTAATCTGGCGTGTCGCATCCAAACCCGCCAGCGCCTCCTTGGAGAGCGCAGAAGGCTGATCCTGCGCTGCCGCGTGTTCCACCGCATCCTGGAGATCTATATCCATAGACTCCTCTTCTGGTGTGTGCAGGCGTCCGACGACGGGCATGGGGCGTCGCTTGTGCGCAGGGAGCGTCGGGGAGATGGAGCTCGGTGGCGTAGGGAGGGTGCCGGTCGAAGCAGCATGGCCGCTGTCCTGGCGTCCAAAGGCCATGGCGATGTTGGACATTGGCTTCTGGGCGGAAGCAGCCATGTTTACTGTTGGGAGGCAGGGGCTGACGGGTGAGTCAAAGCGCGAGTTGGTCGGGAGTCGCGCTGGATGGAAAGGAGGTCTGGAGAGCGGAAGAGTCAGCAACCAGAATCTCTGATATTGTAGGGTTCAGAAGGTGAGTTTGCAGGGCGATGCAACTCGTCTTGCGGCAAACGCACCAGGAGCTTCGGCTTGTACTGTCGGGTATCGACGGTACGGTGTTCGGGCTGCAGCAGGAGTTTGGGTGTAAAATTGAAGACAGAAGTCCAACTGCTTTGTGCGACAAGCGAAATGCAGTTATGGGGCGGATATGCGTTGGCGTTGGGTTGTTATAGCAAGCTGCAGCAACGTAGCTTGTGCCTTCACCGTTCCGAGAGGTTTAGCGATCGGCGATGGATCAGCGAGTCGGTAACGGGAGGATGCAGGTAGCGTGTCGGGGCAAGCAGAGGCGAACGGTAGTAGAGGCAGAGACGGGCAAACAGCGTACAAACGAGCTATCAGAAGAGGTTCAATATTCGGGTGTGGGCTATGTTATGAGTCTACGTACGAGGCAAGGCAGGGTCGCTATGATAAGGGCTCCTTGGTTCCGAAGGCAGCTGGTTCCAAGGAAGGCACGCGCATCTGACGGGAAGCTACGACTCGTGCCCCTGTCAGCCCTGTGATTGGCTCGGAAGCAGCTGACTGAGTCCTTGACAGCCACACACCTCGCACAAGCGTCATGAAACCTCGCCCCTCGCAGCAGCAGGGACTCGAAGCTTAGAAGAAGCAGGGCAACGCTAGAGTAGTACAAAGTGTATCGTGTCTTTGCGATGCGGTGAAGCCGTGTAATTTGTCTGAAATGCTGCGAAATGCTGCGAGAACGATGTCGCGATGTTCGCAGCTGCTGCATTCAGCCATCTCGATCGTGGCTTCCGTTCGCAGCCGATGCCCCATATCGCCATGCTGTGTGTATCGGCTTCTTACGTTGGCCATCCGTCTCTCCATGCCTCGCTCCCACACCGGCGATTGGCGCTATCATTATCGCGCTGCGGGGTCCATCCCACCATCCAAAGGTCCGATTTCGCCATGCGCCTACTAATGAGAGGCTCAGGCACATGGTGAGGGGGCCTGCTTTCGCGGCCAGCTACCACCGTCTGACACACGTGTTTGCCCGACAGGCCTCACTGCAAGACATCCCGTCGCAGAAGATCGCCAAACTCTACAGAGAGCTTGCGCAACCCATCGGAGCTTTTTGCCGTCAACCGAGGGACGTGAGCGTTACGACCAGACAACGTGACAATGCCTCAACCATGATTTGCGTTGACAACATACTTCGTGATAGCCTAGTGGGTGGGGATTCCGTTAGCGATGCGACTACACACACAAAAGTTCGAGTCAAAATCGACGTACCGATTTGAGGACGTTGATCTGCTGCACCGTGCGAGTGAAAACGGCCCGGTACTGCTCGAGGTTCTGATGCACCACTTCGTTGCGCGTAGTGCGGCCTTCGCAGATGGCCTTCATCTGGACCTCCATCTACCCAATGTGTTAGCGAGCATGCCGGGTCATCAAAGCCCAACATCCCACTTACTTCTTTCCGGAGGAATGGTTTGCTGAGGCTTGTCTCAAACCCCACGTTGTCGTATCCTTCGATAAGCGCGATACCCAGAGTCGTTGGGATGAACTCTTGTATTCCGCCCGTTCCTCCTCCGTTGTTCTGGCCTACGGCTGCGCCGCCTCGCCCACCACGTCCCCCTCGTGCCCCTCCTCTTCCTCTGCCGCGGGATCTACCTGCGCCTGCGCCATCTGCGGCTGCTGCTGCGCCGCCCGCTTTGAGTCTTGCAATGACGTATTCGCGCTCCTTGATCTTGGCGATGTGCTCGGCCATGGTTGCATCTGTGCCAATACCATTTGCATCCATGAGGGCGATGAGTTCGGGCTCGGTGAGGTAGCTAGGTGCCGACGTTTGTCCGTCCAGCATGTTCGCTTCTGTAGGCTCGAAAGTCTCACCTACCGTGTACTGGGGGAGCACTTGACTGCTCTCCCACTTGTCGTATGGATAGACCTCGAGATAGTTCCTGGCAATCACGGTAAGGCCATGTGCATGGAATATCTCACCTCCATACTCGATCTCGATGTCTGTGGCTTCGCCGACAGCGTCTTCAGAGCAACAGGCGAGAAAGCGGCGGACAACAAATTCATAGACGGTGCGCTCTCTGTCGTTGAGTTGAGTGGGAGCGACGTAGTTGACGGGATGGATGGGCGGGTGTGCTTTGTCGTTGTTGCGGCCCTCGCGAGGTTGATGAAAGCCACCGTTCATGAGATTCTGTGCGAACGGACCCCAGCGACCGTCTTGTGTTTGCCTTCCGACAAGCGCTCGCAGGTCCATACCACGGTCAAATTGGTCGGTTTCCGTACGTGGGTAACTGATCCACCCTTTCGTATACAGGTCTTCGGCTACTTTCATGACGTCTTGCGAGGTCATGCGAAGAAATCTACTTCCATTCTTTTGTAGTTCGACTGTCGTCAAAGGTAATGGTTTCCACTTCTTTGTGGGTTTCTTAGCCATCTTGATCACTTTTGCGGTCTTTGAGAGCAGACATCTCTCAAAGATGAGGACGACCGCCATACGATCGAAAAGATGACCTCGTCGCCAATTAAACTTGACTTCAATGTCATCTTTCTTGTGTGAGAGCTTGATATACCAAAATGGCTCAGGAACAAAATTTCGCACTCGCAGATAGCGATCGACAACGAACCCTAACGTTGGAAATTGACAGGAGCCATAGCTGATCAACTTGAATCGCTCCTCGCCCTGCTGAGGAATCATGTTCTGTAGCGCAAGTGTCTGCATGCGTGTGAAGGCTGCACCGAGCCGCAGATCTAGCTCAATACGAGCCGAAACAGCTTGAGCCTGCTTCTCGTCTAGGCGGATCGGGTTCTGTGAGGCTTGTATAACGTGCCTGGGTCACGTTAGTTGATGCTCATGAAGATCTTGCAGTGTCACAGACGCTCTCTCGATGTTGCTGAAGCGCGCTCTCCAAACCTGCATGTTTGGGTTCGCCTTCAGCGCAATATCACGAATCTCAGTGCCGATATGCTCGCCTTCGCGATCACAATCAGTCCAGATGAACAAGATGTTCGCCCACCTGGCTTGCGCTTCGATATTGCTTGCTACAACCTTTTTGTCCTGTATATGGATTAGCCAGCTTCGTCAGAATGAACCAAATCACCCACTTCTGCTATGCTCGACACTATGGGTGCCTCGAACAGTGCTGCGGGTTGACATGAGTGCCATTTCTTGAATCGTTCGTTGAAGTCCTGCGCAACGATATGTCCGGCAACGCATGTGAACGTTACAGAGCATTGCCCCCAGTTTTGGAAGCGGAAATCAAACTTGTAGTTCTTGACCCACTGGATACCGCGGACACTTTCCTATCTGAAGTCAGCCTGCGTCCGATCTGCACGTCGGGCCATGAAGGCGCTCGTATCCTTGCACCGAACACCAAGACATGAGCTAAACGCATCCGTCATCCTCTCCGGCTATCGAAATGACAATCAAACACAAGTGTGAACTTTCAAGGTATATGTTGAAGGTCAATGCGACCTGCTGAACTTACTGCTCGGGCTTGGCCGCCCAGATGATTTGCGACTGCTTTTGCGATCGATGGCTTTTCCGCCACGCACAATACCCGAGTCATACCTCTGGAGTGCCGTTGAAACCGCGAAAGAGGCTCAACGTGGGTCTGGAGATGATGGTGGGGAAAGATCCTCACGGTCATGTGAAGACGCGTCGCATTCGCCTTGGCGCGTACTAGCGCGTCCAAGAGCCGCACGGACGCTACCGCAGCTCGCTAAGCCGGGGACGCCAGGGAAAACAGGTCTTCATGAGGTCATTGTCCGCTTCACACAACAAACGCTAACGCCAGCTTGCGAGGGGCGCATCGCAACATCCCCATCTTCACCTACCCTCATCGCAACGATGCCTGACCCCCGTACATACACCGACATGGCACTGCCGCTTGTCAAGACGCTGCCCGACTGCGTCGACTACTTCAAGACCGTCGAGCCGTTCCTGCCACAATTCTACGACCTCCCGTACAAGGTTGCAGCGCACATCACCGATGTGCAGGCACTGAAAGACCTCTATGTCAACACCAACCCGCTCATGTCATCGCTGGCATTTGCCACGATGTTCGTCACGCCGATCGTGCTTGCCGTCTCCGAGATCAACCGGAACTACTCGCAGGTTGACAGGATCTGGAGTATATTGCCTGCCCTCTACAACGTGCATTACGCACTATGGGCTCATCTCAACGGCCTGCCCACCATGAAGCTGGACCATATCATGGCTGTCTCAATCATCTGGGGTGCTCGCTTGACTTTCAACTATTGGCGGAAGGGCGGATATCAGGTCGGCAGCGAAGACTACCGATGGGAAATTGTCAAGGACTACGTCGGCGGACCCGGCATGTTCATTTTCAATGTCACATTCATCTCGCTAGGGCAGAATGTAAGTATACTCCTACTATTTACTATCAGTGTATGAGATACTGATCATGGTAGATTCTTCTTTGGCTCATCACCACGCCCACGTATATCCTCCTCCTCGTCAACCGCATCAAGGGCAACGACATCACAACCTACGATACCCTATTCGGCCGCTCCATGCTCGCTATCGTCGTGTTCGAGTTCTTTGCCGACCAAGCGCAATGGAACTTTTACAAAGCGAGGAACGCATACCAGAAGACTGCCAAGGTACCATCCGACCAGAAATACACTCGTGAACAGTTAGACCGTGGCTTCAACACTACTGGTCTTTTCAGCTGGTCGCGCCACCCCAACTTCGCAGCCGAACAATCCTTCTGGGTATGCTTGTACCAATGGTGCTGCTTGGAGACTGAGACCTACGTCAACTGGGCGTTCGCTGGTGCATTCGGATACCTGATCTTGTTCCAGGCTAGCACTTGGTTGACTGAGTTGCTCAGCGCGGGCAAGTACCCTGAATACAAGGTCTACCAGGAGCGGGTCGGGAAGTTCCTTCCGAAGTTCGGCACCAAGAGCATGGACTTGCCGCAGACGGAGAAAGAGAAGCAGAAGGTCAAGGACGCGAAGGCTGGCAAGGGTTCCATGAAGACTAAATAAGTCCACATGGAAAGAGCTATGGCACAAGACCTCCTCCGGATGGAGAGGCCACATGATCGAAGAGGGATGATGTGTTGCCAGCCAGGATCAGTGGGCGTTATGAGCAGACAGGTGCTCAAGGTATGATACGGATCTCAAAACCACATACGTCATTACATCAACCCAAGCATAATATCTAACAAAGTAACTGACCACACTGCTGGGCTACGTCACAGAAGTTGCTTTAATATCACTACCCTCATGTCCTTCCATTATCCATTCGTTGACTTCTTCATCGCCTCCTGTTACAATCCACCAATCTCTCCCTGAACTCGAAACCATGCTCTGCTCCCACGAACCGTTAACCGTTGTGGCTCCTACCAGACGCAGCGACAGTCTTCAACCTTCCGCCTTGGTCTCCTCGACCGCGAACCTGATCCTGCTGTTGAACATCTTCTTCACATCTTCGAACGAAACCTCTGATGACCTGCCCTTAGCTTTCTGTGGAGCAAGGAATTTCAGATTGCCAGCGCAGTGAAAGTCGATTCCATCGCCGACCGTGTTGGTGAGAAAGTCATCGTATCTTCTCGCTCTGGTAAATTGCACAACCCGCATGTCCAACTCGACAACGACATTGCGAAGCGCAGCGAAGCCATAGTCACCATTCGCAAGCTTAGCGAGCTTAAGCCACTCATCCCTCATCGGGCGGATGCGCACAGCGAGTCGTCGAATGAGATGGTGAAATGCTTGTGGGGGATAGGCGAAGTAGAGGCGGGCGTCCAGGCTTCCATTTCCCGGAATGACAGAGTAATATGCCGGCTCTAAATGGAACTCGTTCTTGGTCCAGAAGATATCTCGCGCGATTGCGCCGATCTCGCGTGTCATTGCCAGGTGGGGAAGCAGCCGACAATAGACTATTGGAGGGTAGACACACTTGTTGCCTGCGCCGACGCGATTCTCGGCTTTCATATTGAACTCGAGTGTCAGGATCTTCAGCTCGGCTGGCAGTTTGTTCCATCCTTCAGCGAATGCGGACTTAAGTGGCGCTGATGACGCAATGATGAGCGGCCTCAAGGACGTGATCTTGGTGAAGGACTCGGGGCCAGCGTCGACGTCGACACTGTTGCCCTTTATGAGAGTGACCCGATAAGGTGAGTCGCTCTTGATGTAGATGGATACAGGTGGTTGGAGTTGGAGTGGTGTCGTTAATTGGACGACATCTTCGTACATGTCTACGTCGGGGACCTTGCTGAGTGTTTTGATCGTCAAGGAGGAATGCCGGGCCATCATCGCTGTGGCTGCGAATGCCATGAGCCGTGTAGGTGGTATTGTGTCTCAAAAGCGCTGCGCGCTGGCGGGAAGGTCAAATATGAGAGTGGGATGTAGGAAAAATTGCAAATGGGAGACGGCGTCAGTGCGGAGGTGAGACAAACCTTGGAACGCTGTAAAAGTACTAGCGTACAGCAAATGTAGACTGTAGTCAACGGTTGGAGTGAAAGACGAAGAGTCTTGTCTTGCTTCTCTTCAATAAAGCCTCCAGGCTATCTATTGACGTATGTCTAGATCGACAGCGCGGTTACGTCGAAACAACTACTGCATCCTTGATCTTAACCATCAATGGTGTCTTTTCCCACAAAGAGTATATCTTCTGATCCGCGATCCAATTCCGACATTCGGGGAGCAATTCGAGATCGAAGTTGAAGAGCACTTTGCTCATGATGAGGCGCATTTCGTGGAGGGCCATGCTAGTAACAACATGTTAGTATCTTTGCGATGTTTTAGAGACCAAGGGGTAGCGTGACTTACTTCTTGCCTAAGCAGTCCCTTGGGCCTACATGAAACGGCTGAAGAGCTGAGCGTTCATCGGAGGTGAAGCGTGGGTCGCCTAGCCAGCGCTCGGGGATAAAACTTTCGGGGAGTCTGAAGTTGTTCGGGGAGCTGTACATTGCCAAATGAGAGGCTGCGACATTCGTCTGAAGAATGTAAGTATTCGACAGCTGTTTGACAGTGTGTGAGAGGGATGAGAACGTACATTGGGAGGAGTATAATAACCACAAATAGTCGAACCTTCAGCAGGAGTTAGGTGTGGCAAACCAATCGGTACAGGAGGATAGTGTCTGAACGCTTCTTTGATGCAAGCATTAAGATAGGGTAAGTTAGCGGTGACTTCCATACTTATGTCGTCTGATGAGTTAAATGCCGTCCGGATTTCCTCTACGAGCTTCGCCATTGACTCGGAGTGCACCAGAAGCAAGTAGGTCAGTCCACTGAGCAACGTCGCCGTCGTTTCCGTGCCAGCTAACATGAACAACTCGCCGTTCATGTCCATGACAGGGCGGGTCAGGCCCGGTTTGCCCTTGTCTTCTTGTTGGAGAACCAGATCCCACAGATCGACACCCTCGGATACTCGTCCCTTTTCAAGTCGCTTAGTGACCCTTTCGACAGTGTAGTTGTGATGCTCCCTCCGAAATGTCGCAATCGTTTTCCCCAACAATGTAAATAGAATAAACTTGGCGAGCGGGTAGTAGAAGAAGATGCTCATTAGCGTACCGCCCTTGATGCTTCTGAAGATGACTTGAATCCAGGTGTTGTACTCTGCGTTATCGAGCAGGTGTAGAGATTCGCCAAATGTTAGGTCGGCCATGACGTCGAAAGTGGTGAAGTTGTCTGTATATAGTTGTACAAAGTCAGTGTTTGTCTAACATGCGCTCGTACATAGACCTAACGTACACATTCGGACGAGATCGACCGCGTTCGCCTGGACACTTTCTCTCAAATTGCGGACAAGTTGATCAGCGTACTTGATAAATAATGGTGACTGCTGTACGAGCGCTCGGTCAGAGAACGCGGGAGAGAAGATTTTGCGAATCCGTGCATGCTCGGCATTGTCTTGCTCTGCGACAAGTGAGTTGGCTCCATCAGGAGAACTTCCCCGGCGATTCCAGTTTTTGGGCGGCGCCGAGCCTGGGCCTTCCTTTGACCCATAACCGTAGATGTCGCGCCAAGCTTTTGGATTGGTGAAGCTGAGTTCATCAGGCGAGAGGCGCACTACTTCTCCGTATTGCGCGTGGAGCTGGGCAACGTGTCGTGGTAGTTCACCTATCACTATGGCAGTGAGGTACGGTAGGCGCGTAAAGGCAGAGAACTTTGGCCCAGGGAAATGGCTAAGCGGATGGAAGTAGACTCGGTAGATGCCTCTAACTACCCATCGTACAACAATCTGCCAACGTTAGTACACCCGGGTATTCGAAAGCGAATTAGTGCGAACAAACAAATGCAACGACTAGAGAAACAAATTTCGCTACAGAGAGTTTCCCAAAGACGACAGAGAGCCTACGAAGCGCGCTTGGTTTTGTGAGGACAGCCATCATGAGAAGTGGCGGTTGAAGGTTAGGGGCAGCGGAACATGTCAGGGCGACAACTGCCTTCCATTTGTGTCCCCCTCGTATCTTTTTCGGTGTGTATTGAAGCAGCCTGCAATGCATCAACCCATACTTCAGGGACGTACTGAAGGCAACTTACCCCATTGCCTTGACCTGTCACAGGGGCCATGCCGCTCGCTACTCACAGTTTAAGGTTTTCTCCACGCCGCCGACCTTTATCCGGACTGTGCCACGCGGAGGTGCCGGGCCGTTATAGTGGAATGCATCGTATAAAGCGGAACCAATGCTCGTGCACTCAGCGGGTAGTGAGCCAACAAAGATAACATGCATAGAGATAGGAATGTGGCGGTAGTTCGCAGTGAAGAATTCTGGCTAATACGAATGACTAGGACTACACGGATCCCTTTGTCGCGTTACCACCTCCAATGGTGCTCACGTCGGGCGCGCCTACGAGAGCCAGATTCTCAATACCAGCAACGCCGTATAGCGCCGCGGCATTCGTACTGACCCATGTGGCTTCATCGACAGCAGTAAGTGCGTCACTTCCATCGACCCTCACCCTCGCCCATGGAGCACCCGGTGCAAGCCCGTCTTTACTACCATCGCCCAAGAACTCTGACCAAACTCTTGGAACGAGTGTCGCGTTGTTGCGGTGATTGGCGACATATGCGGTGAAGCGCGAGTGGCCTTGCATCAGACTTAAAGTGCCAAAGTCCTTGCCATAACGAGCTTTCTGTTCAGCCTTCCCGGCGCCGTAATAGTAACAATAGTCCAAAAAGGCTTCGAAGAAAGGTTGAGTGAGATTCTTCTGCTCCGTACCGAAGTGGTCCATAAGCTGATCAATAGTCTCAAGAACGCCGAACACACCAGACAAATGAGAAACCGTGACGTTGCCGGTGTTGTTCGGGTCTGTCGGCGGCGGTGCCCACGCACCAGTGAGGCTGTTGTAGAAAGCTTCGCCAGTGGCGAATCCATTCTTGAGCTTTGGATATGTCATGATGGACTCGACGAGCTTTTTGCGAGATTCTTCCCAGCGAGGCCCGCGACGCTCCCACTCGATAAGATACGCTTGGGCAATACCAGCCCAGTCGGTGCCAAAGTTGAGGAATAGCGCTTTGGGATCAGGGTTGTAGACAACACCCGGTTCTCGCACCTTGCGTCTCGCATCTACGCGAAGGAAGGCTTTATCAGCATCCATGACCTCACTTACCAGGTCGCCGGTGCGCTCGTCGCCGCCGGAGATGTAGTAAAACGTCTTTCGATAGACCGGAGTTGAGATTCTAGCCTGTTTGGCACTGTCACTCCAGTGTTGGACGCCATGTCTCGTCCCGAGCCCAGTAAAGTTGCCAAGATGATACGAGTCAACCTCGCCCCCGTGGCGCACTTGGTCATGAGCAATTTTGTAGGCATCCGCACGACCGGTGCGGAGGAAAAAGTCCCAGAAGAAGAGATCAGGCGACAGCTCCGAATTATCCCAAGCATAGCCACCAACGTCGTATCTCCACTGGTGACGATCGTTATCATAGGTATGCATGACATCTCCATGGTCCCAAAATCCGTACCAACGGCGCTGCTCGATTTGGTCTTCGTAGAACTTGATCAAGAAGTCCATGTTGTTCTCGATAGTTTGTGCTTGGGCAGAATCCACAGCACCAGGCACGTCCCAGTACGACCCAATCGCTTTGGTGTCGCGCATGTACTCGGGCTCAGGAATGAGAACGGGTGGGTTGTTGGTGAAGTTGGTGAGCGTTGCAAGGTGTTCGGCGGATGGAGTCTTGTCAAACGCGTAGATGTAAAGCTCGTTAGTGCGGCCAAGGCCGTAGGGAGTGTCATAGCCCCCTTCCCAGTCTTCGTATGTGATATCAAGAGCGTCTAGTTGCTGCTTGTAGGTGTCTTGTCCAAGTCCGTCGTGGTATGGGCGGATATCCATGGGCCCTGCTTGAGGGCTGTACAGCCACATGGTGATTGATCCAGTATCAGTTGCGGCATTAGAGATATCCAAACTGGTAGGATACTTCTTCCAGAAATCGCGAAGGCCCACGGCAAGGCCGCCAACCGTGGCGCCGCCGAGATATGCCAGGCCACCTGAACGTGTGCCTCCAGGAATCTTGACCCAGCTTTGGCCAGCCTTCGTGCGCTTCTTGAGGTTGAAGCCATCTGGTGAGAGTTGTGTGAGCTGATAGTCGCTCCACGTTGGGATCCACTGTAAACGAGTGGTCACCCTCTGATCCCATGTAGAGTTCGGTGGCAAGACGGTGCCGTTGAACTGGCTCGATCGAATGTCGACACCTGGGTCGCGACGCAGACCAGTAATGCCCTTGACAGCTTCGTGTAGCATTCCGCCTTCAACACCCGCAATTCGGACATGACGATCGTAGAACTCCTCTTCAGCTAGGGGAACATCGAAGCGAATGCCGATACCCGACATGAAATCTTTGTACATATCTCCATCGTAGATGATGGTGTGAATGACCCGAATTGCTTCGGAGTTGGCGTAGAGGTAAAACCGAACGGTGAAGGGTATCCAGTCATCATGAGCGCCATCTCCGTCGATAGTATGGATGCCGTTGACTGTGACTAACGATCGAACGGTGTTTTCCTCCGATACAGTGACGTTCGAGATCTTGCTGGTGAAGCTGAAGTAGTCGATGCCGGTTGGCTTGCCATCTTCGTCGTCATCAGGTGTACCGTTTTGAGAGCGTAGGACGAGGTGACCGTTGCTTCCGACCGTCTTCCGGCCGGCTTCAATGGTGGAAACCAGAATGTTTCCCGACTTGGGAAAGGTTGCTGAGACTTTGCCGGTATTGATCACGATGCTGTTGTCAGAGTCGGTGACTTGGATGCCATTGGCTTGACGCTTGTATAGCGAAGTAGAAGCATTGCCTGCACCAGAAGCCGTGATTGTGTATTCACTGGCCGGCGCTTCGCTAGCTCCTAGGGCATGTCCGGTCCATTTCAGTGAGCCATCAGGCCAGTATGCTGTTACCCATGACTGAAGTTCCGCATCCCCAGAGACGGTGAAGGTTGTTGCGTTCGCAAGGTGCTGTCCTCGAGGCCACGGTAGGCCGAATGTCACGCCAGCGAGGTATTCCGGTGTATCCTCAAGCCACTTGACTTTGACAGAGTCGCTTTGGGCGGTGGCATAGCTGACAAGGCCAGCAAGGCCAATGAAGGCCCGAAACATTGTGAGATGGTGCAAAGAGCGGAAGAGGTCGCAACCAGAGGGGAGGCTTGACTTTCTCCCTGACCATCCAACGGGCAAGCATTTTGTAGTTGCATGTCTCGACCAGGTACCTGGCTACGGCTTGACCGCAACGGGCCGTGGCCCGTCCAATACCCGGCTCACCATGTCACTTGCGGTAGCATACCCGTCGACTAGCCCGCACGCAAGAAGGTGTCCACAGAACGTAATGTAGGTCGTCCTGAACGAGGCTGGTGTGTCCTTGGCGAGCCTCGTGTGTGATGGCCAGGAGTGGAGCTACTGTGGAGGTGGGGTAGATCGACAGGTTTGTGGGAAGGCGAAGACCTGTTCGCCATTTAACCTCGGGGTAGAGACAACCGAATTGATGCCTTTTGGGGTGATGGATGCGTGAATAGTACTGCCAGACCAGCAAAAATAGGAGCGATGCCCGCAGAAGGCACCGCTCGAGAGCTTGCCGCATGTCCTTAGCTGGGGCAAAAAAGATCAAAAACATACAACAGCGGGGATTCGCTAGTGGTCACCCACCTAACTACTAATCCGCCGGTATCATGCTTGTATATGGCTGAGCGGACGGGAAGCCTAATTTTCATGATCCTATGGTCGTATGTGAAGGAATGTGGTTTGAGCCAGTATATATTGCCATGCCGCACGCCCACCGGAAGGGCCAGTTGAATCTGGCAGACTGGGCGGCTTCGGAGCTGCTGTATCGCAGGTCAACGCGACGCGTCCGGAAAGAACAGAAAGTTAGTAGGCTCAGAGGATAACGTAGGTATGTGAAGGTGTTGGTGGAACTTTCGCGCGAAAGGAGACATGTGCCACACGCGCGCGTCACGTTCCCGAGGTCATGCCAAGCACGCTAGCTAGAATCGCGCTGCGCCGCTCCTCATCTTGGAAACGCGACATCTCCTGGGCGTCGGAACAACACACGGCGAAATGGGTTCCTGAATGCGCGTGTCCGGTTTCCTAGCGTTTCAATAGCCAGGGCGTCATGTCTTGACCTACATCATCGACTTACACTCGTCTATATCCGTCCCAACATCACATCTGGGCATCACGCAGTCTATCCACTTTTGGGAATCACAGTTCAGCTTATTGACTCAGAGATGACAATCAAAAGGATTTCCAGGTTACATTAATCTGATAAGATTATCATGTGCGCGAACACATGACGACGCAGCAAAGCGCTCGTGTACACGATGCGCTTTTCGCCGATGAGAACCAGGCATTATCTATTTCTATTTGAAGTAAGGTCGAAAACGACTAGACTTCTTTACTTGTTACCGCTACCGGTACCTTGACCGGAGACGCCGCCACGACGGCCGCCTTCTTGTTCGTACTCGCCGTATGTCTCTGGCATTGTAGTGAGGTTGTTGGGAGGGATGCTTGTATTGGGGATAGTGGTTATGGTTGTGTAAGAGTGTGGAAGTGTGAGTGTGTGAGTGAGGTTCGGTTGTTGTAGCGTGAGAAGTCTATTTGTAGTAGTTGGGGCGGCAGTCGTGAAGGCACCATGTGAGACGAATGTCAGGTGTTGTGAAATCACTTGGCTGTAACGAAGCCAGTGACTACGACTGCATAAGACATGTCCCACTGTAAGTAAGATGTTTGAGAAGATGAAAGTCTATTAAAGTTCAATCCTAAGTCTAATACCACCATCTATCACTCCAAGCCTTACTCGTCCTACATCTAGTAAGTGACCTCTCCGAATTCCTCGTCAGCGAGGATCATGTAAGTCTTCTCCTCGCTCAGTTCTATGTCGCACTCCGCGTAGTCGTCGTATAGAGTGGCGTTGAAGAAGTTGCACATGTCCTGAACGATAGGGCGTGCCTTGCCGAGCTCCTCAAACGAGCAAGTGCCCTTACCGCCGAGAGCGGCAGGGAAGGCACAGGGCTCGATCGCCTGTTACGGTGTCAGAAAAGTGCTGCAGCTGAAACTAGGACGAATGTGGTACTCACGGCAGAGTAGACGCTGTAGTTGATGCAATGGCAAGTAAAGTCATCGGGCGCACAGCCGTCAGCATGGTTGGCCTTCTCCTGGCACTGGTGAAGGCACTTGGGCATCCATTTGCTGAGCTTCTTGTTGTCCCTAGCATCATCGCATTAGTATATAGACCAAGGAAGTTTCGGAGGGGCTTAGCATACAAGCACTTGTACTTCTCCATGTTACCATGCTTCTCAGCTTGGGTAATGTTGTAGGTGTACTGGGCGCTGGCCGCAGCCGCAATGGAGAGAAGAGTGGCGATTTGGGAGAAACGCATGATGATGATGATGATGATGATGATGATGCTTGTGTGGTTGTTGGTGAGGTGATGTGTTGAAAGTGATGCTTGATGTTGTGCTTCGATTAGAGTGAGGATGTTGCCCCTCTTATACACCAACTTTCGCACTACCCTCACCCTTCTCAGATAGAATCAAAGCGTTATGTGCTGGTAGCAAGTACATGCAGCTGTACCATACAGTCCCAACATTGGATGTGTAATATTGATCCATGCAGGAACATCCTCCTGCATTGAGCTAAGATGTGTTAGTGCGACTGTCAAATGGATGCGCCGGCAGAGTCTCCGAGCCCTCACCTCCTCTGGTGTCCCTCAACGTTGGCCCGGACAGCACCATGGCCGGAGCGGAACACGCATCACACCTGGCGGTGACAGCAACCTTAGCTGAAGAGAGAAAGCGGTCAACTTTCCCAACACAAACGACAGAAACAACGAAACATTTGGCAATCAGACATCAATGTCAGTGGAAGGTTATCGAAGGGGTTTGCCGCGAACGATACATCAGCATTTCCATAATCGGAGATGCGCTTGTGTCACAATGAAGACGAAATGAGAGACGAGAGACTGGAAAAGATGCGGTCCAGCGAACAAATCGTGAGCCATTTCAATAGCATGAGCGAATCATTTGGCAGTACCGTGGAACAAGCCGATGCATTGACATTCTAGCGAAATAGGGGATTGAAAAGGAAAACCGACCACACTGGGGCCTTGCTAGGGCTGACAAGAGACAGCATAAACTTGTCATGAAGATAGACTCTCTCATCTGATGCGGTGTGAGAAGATTGCGCAGCTGACCGACTTGCGCATTTGGTTGAGGTAGTGGGAGTGATGTAGAGCATCTGTTGTTGCCCAGGTGGATGGGCCCCTTGTCCTCAGGCGAACCTTTCCGAAAAGGTTTAGCATGTGGAGCTCCGGGACCCCGCCTTACTTCGACTAGACATCTGAACCAGCAATGAGGTTTACTTGCTTATTATATTGGGACCCGTCCCCTCACCGCTGCCTGGTGTTCGACAAGAGATCACAACTTCGACTTTTGCAGCTGCTCGTTGACGAGCGCGGCGAAATGCGGGTGTGCTGCGCCTATGGCGTCGCATTGCGCCTCCGACAACACGTGCGCATTTCCCAACATCTGCCTGGCTGTCCTTACAGCAAGATACGTGACGATTGGATCCGAAGGCTGCAGGGCTCTCAGAAGACGTAGGTAGCTGGTCATCTCCGCGACGAGGCCTTCATGATCAATAAGACGCTTGATGAACGGCTGCAGATCTTCCACAGCGTCAATACCGAGAGCGCGCATCGCCGCATAGCTATACAGCCAATACCACTTATCTTCGCCATCGACTTCTGGGTCATCGGGAATGAAAGATGTCGTCGTCTTGCTTCTGAAACACCGAACAAGCCAGTCGAGGACACACATGGCGTAACCTGGTAAGATGGGGCCCAGGGCAAGAGCGAGTTGCGAAACGTCTGGGTATTCCACATAGCCGGTTCGAATCGCCTGCGAAGCCGCAGCGAGCGCCCAAATCGAAATTTCGATGGCATATGGACGGTGGCCGCTCTCGGCTTGCTCGGTCATCTGACGACTGCGATCGAGGGAAACGAGACCTTTGGCAGCAGAACACTGGTGGGCGTAGTCCGATGGCGCACCCGAATGAGACGCGACAAGCAAAATTGGAGGACCTTCCAGGAGAAGAGCGCGTATCTCATACGAAAGATCTTCAAATGGCTGCTTCGGGCTATCGTCGAAGGAAGCCGTAGTATCTATGTCCATGTTGCCGAAGCTCTCTTCGAGCTGTGCGCCTGCAACTGTAGCTTGGTCGTCTCGATGGTGTAGCGGCAGCATTTCGTTCCGAGGTTGTTTCTAAGCTGTGTAAGTCTGTTAAGCCGGATTGAGGCTCTGCACTGCTGCGACGGAAAAATATGGCTCTTCACCAAAGGCTGCGCCTGCCTGCCATGATTGGCAACAGCGCCTGCAACGCCGTGATGACGCAACTATGCGCGCACAACGGTACCACTCGTTCCTGGCGGCGCATAGAATAACCACTATCCTTCGAGAAGGACATTTCGAAAGTATGGCCGTAGTGAATGTGGGTGACAGAGACAATACTAGAGCACGTGGTACTAGCGCGACAATGGACCCACACAATACCTTTGTCTCACTAGTCGGACTTGCTCCCCTCTACACACGACCTTCCGTATCAAATCACAGATCTTTTGCTGTCCTCAATAATCGACACTATGGCTAGGAAACGCAACGGCGGTTCGCACCAAAAGACGGACGGCGCCCACAATACTCACCCCAAGACTGCGATGACTACCCATGTTCAATACAAGGCGAAAGAAGGACTTCAACACCAAGACCAAGCACAACAGCAAGAACGCGGCCGTAATGGTGCACGTGGATACGGTGGCAGGCGTGGACATGGCGACCAGCGGAGCAAGTCGCCAGGGCGAGACATTCAGCGCGAGCAACAATCCAAGCATCGAGACAACAGGCGCTCACGCACCCCACCCCCAGCCAGAGAGATCCACGATAGGCCAATCAAGGTCCAAGAACTCCGCGTAAGTGCGACTACCGACGCCGCTGAACAGGTTTCCTGGAAGCGTAAACAAGAGGCAACTGAAGATGTTGGACTGCATGCGAAGAAGAAAGCGCGTAGCGGACCTGGAGAAATGCAACCGACAATGGTCGCTCACGGACAAGAACATTTACGCGCACCAGCAGTGGAGAAAAGCATTGATGCAGGCAAGAAGGTCCCTAGCCTACTTGACCTAAAGAACATGACCGAGGAAGACAGGAAGAAGCTCCGTGATGACGAGTTCAAACAGAAACCTGTTGTTCCTAGCAGAACTGCTGTATTGGAGACAGTCACTCATGAGCTAAAGAGCCCTAAGACTAGACACGGTGTCAAAGACGGTTGCAAGATCACAGCACCCGAAGCGGAACCGGAGGCAAAGGCGCTTACTCCACGGACCCCAAGTCAAAACACCAAAGCCAGCTCGCTAAAGCAGTCCGATGCTAGCACCAAGATCGCGGCCGCGATGTCGCCCGATACGTCCGTCACCAAGGGCGCCGTCTCAACCCCCAAGTCACGGCAACCAAGCGCGGGAAAGGAAATACACAAGACGGAAGACGCAAAGGCTGGCGAAAGCAGCGCAGGTGGCACAAAGCCAAAGCCTAGTTCTACTCCAAGCCAAACAGTCACACCGCCGGCTGAGCGCAGTAAGCGGAAGTTCGTGGAGTTAGAGAATCCCGAGGTAGCTTCGCGCAAAAAGGCCAAAGCGAGCCATGAGGCTATAAAGAGACGGAATACTAAGATCAAGAAGTCTCTGGATGATCACCACTTGTACGCCGGTCAGGGTCGCTTCCCAGAGGAAGGAGTTACTTATTTCGACTACGATGTTTACAGCATACCCCTCCTATGCTCTCATACGATTGAACATCAGTACCCATTTGAAGTTATGAATAAGCCTTCAAACAGGCTGAAACGATCTTTCGTTGATGAGAACGAGGTTCATGTCTTTGGTCGTAAGATGCTTGTTCTGCGGCAGGAAGCGCTTCGCCTATCCAGGAAGAAGTTCTGGACGTCCGAAGACCTTGGCCGCAAAGATGCTTCGAAAGTCGAGCCAACTAGAGACATCGGCGACTGTGACCTCTACCTCTACAATGGGAAGGTTCACATCGCTACCGAGCGAGGACTTCTTCTAGCAGCAGAGTACCTCAAGCTCATCGGAGTTCCGGATACGCAGCCAGTACGATTCCATGGGAACAAACCCGCTTGGATGAGCCAAGTTACGCCCAAGCCGGAGCACAGGCGTGTGTTGGAATCATGGCATCCTAGTGCAGCCTTGAAAGAAGGCGGCTGCATCTCAATCACGCACAGCTCTACCGTGGTAGTATACGAGCATGGCGTTTTCGACATCGACCACAACACCGGCGCGGAGACCCGAATGGCCTACGGTGCGCGAGAGGATGATGGCGTTGTTGGTTGGTTCGACTATTCGAAAACATGTCGTATAGACTGGCTCAAAGACCCAGAAGAGACAACTACAACCACACACGACCCTACCATCATTGACTGGTCAACATTTGACTACAGTCCTCTCGCAGCTCGAGCAGCAGCTCAACAAGCGGCGCAGCGTAAGTTGACGGCTGCAACGCGGGGAATGGCAACAGTTTATGCATCCACGGCACCACTCCCGCCGATCACACCAACATTGGCATCTCCCGCGGGAAGAGCAGCGACACCTGGCAGCAATGGCGAATATTACTTGTCCCCACTTGCGCTTGCAGCGGAAAGCTCGTTACAGTCTAGGACGCATGCTGAGTCTCCAGGTCCTTGTGTCTCGCAGAAAGAAGGAGAGTCGCCACCGTCGACGATCAAGGATGGACGTATTTCGCGACATGACAGTCCCAATTCCCGATCTGAACAGACTGCGAATGAGGATAGCAGCGACATTATTGGCGAAGATGATGCACCCCAAGGAGCCATCGATGCCACATTATCCAAACCAGTTACAGACATCGGGTCTGTCGTGACACAAGAGACGGCGATGGATCCGTCCTTGAGTCCTCAGCAGGTCTCCGCAGGTTTTGACGGACCTGGAGGATATCAAGTATCCTCGCATGAGTCTGCAGCTCCGGCCATCAAAGCAGTGCAACCGGACAAGCCTCTATCTACAGTATCTCAACGTTACGATGTTGAGGTAGATTGGGACGATACCGACATCCACGAGGACGATGAAGCTCAAAACCAAAGCTCAAATCACAACAAAGAGGACGAAGAGCTTTGAGCTGGGAAAAAGGTATCTGAACCTTACTGCGATCACACATTGTACGGGAGTGAGATGGTCATAGGCTCCTGTAAGGACATCGAGCAGAAAGAAAGAGACGGAGACTATACCAGTCAGTGCGACACCGCTAACCTGGGTGTCGTCATTGATGGCGAGGTATAGGACGGAATCAGTACGATTGGCCTTCTGGAGTAAGTAGAGGAGCAGCTCGCTGTCTTCGTCTGCACAGCATGGAGCCATCACCCAAGACGCTGGCATTGGTCACGAATACCAAGCATACGGTGCGATCTTGCTAAGCAGAAACCCAACACATGGGGATCATGCCACAACAATGTACCACAGAAGGCCCTACCAGCATGGCCAACGCTCAGATCTCTTCCTTTGCGATATGTTCGCGATGAAACAGAGACTTACTTAGCCTGAAAGGCAAGAAATACCTACCAAAAAAAGATGAGAGCAGAAAAACGCCAAATCAGACACAAAAGACGAAACCAAGTGCCAAAGCTGCGCCCCTCCAGTCTCTCAGCATACCCACCATTTGTATGGTCTAGCGGAAGAGCCTTATGGGCAGAGACGGACTACACATGACCGAGAGCCCCCAAACAGGCATGCGTTGCAAGCGCGTCATCACAGTCAAGTCGCCATCCATTCCAAAGCTACACGGCGCATGTACTATTCACGTACGAGCGACCCATCTACGATACCCATTTGCTGTTTTCAAACGCACATTTGAGAGCGTTCCGAAAAAGAGGAGCAAAGCTAGTTGAGGGAGCATCAGTCCATTTGCATCAATACGAAGTTCAGACCGGGCACCGCGCGGGTCGCACGTGTGCTCGTAACACTTAGCTATGGATCTTCGATATGTTTGATAGTTCTAACATCATAAAAATAGAAAAATGTTGCAAATTTGCGTGAACTGAGCTGCGCGACCCGCCGCTGAACTGACGTGATCTTTGTCCATCTTACAGCGTATTAGTAGACTTCAGAGTTCTTCCGCCGTCTAGCTTCCTCACATGAGTTCCTGTCCCTGTTCCAGAAGCATTAGGATTCATCAGCAGTGGCTTTCTCTTTGGAACAATATTGGCCTTCACACCCTAGGTCTTCCCTTCTTCAAGCTTGTTTGCCTGCGCTGATCCGCTACTAACAGATAGCCGCAACTTCTTCTTCTTGTTGTTGTGCGCGCGGAACCTGATGAGTCAGTATGTAAGTGGACAACGCGACAATTAGACTCTTACCAGAAGATAAGGAGCGAGAGAATGAGTAGACCGCCGACGGAGCCACCTACCGCGGTACCAACCGTGTAACCTGCTTCGGGATCAGTATATAGAGAAGACTTCCAGGTGATATGCAATGTATCAATACCTGTAGACAAGCCTGGAGGTCCTCCACCCGATATAGGTGGTAGAGTAAAGGTCGGATTTGGCGGAGATGGAACATCTGTTGGAGCACCTGTAGGGGCTGGAGGCGGGACTGTTGTCGGAGGAGGAACCGCTGTCGGAGGTTGAGGTGGAGCTGAAGCTGGAGGTGTAGCTGGAGGCGCAGACGATGGGAGCGGGTGTGAAGCTGACGAAGAGGAGACGTCGACTGTTGACGTCGATGATGTTGATGTTGATGTTGCTGTTGTGAAAGGTCGCGTTGGGCTACTGAATACTGATTGTTGGCCATTGAACTGAGTTGTCCCTGCAAAGACGCTTGAGCCGAGTGCAGATGATGGAGAGCTGATGAGCGTTGTATCAAACTGTAGAGTAAGTCTTAGCCTTGTCGGTGAAACTTGCGGACTTCTTACCAATTGCGCGCTTGTCATTGTGATGAGATTCAGGGCGAACAAGTGTGCAAGAAACGCTTCAATGTTCGCCAGCAGGAAAGTGAGAACGACGATCTAACCTCGACCTAGGGGAACCGGTTGATTGATGTGTGTTCGTCTCAATCGTGACAGGGCGTCGGTCCAGAAAAACCTCAAGGTTGGGGGCTAAGCTTACGGCGCGGCAGGGGGGCTACAGCTTAGCGATAAGGCAGACTCCAGCCTGATCAGAGCTGACGTCCTCTTTTAGTCGTTACAACAAATGATTCTGGCTTTTCCTTCGCTGCTTCTTCATACTGAAAGCTTTTCAAAATGGACCCATCTGGTTGTCTTGCCCTTTCCACTCGAACGGATTTCGCAGCGTACATCGATCTGCTCCGCAACGCCACGGGCGGGGATTTCAGCCTCGTGAAGGATTGCAAAACTAATGTATGCGGAGCATTATGGGGCTCAGGGAATCCAGACATCAGCGGTATTGGCATGGCGATTGGATATATTCTTGAGAGCTTCATATGCGCATGTCTCGTAGCGATATCGATGTGGTTTGATCGAAGCGCAGAAGGCCATCCAACCATCGGGAGGCTATTGGTTGCGAACGCCACAAGAACCTTTTTCGACAACGCCATCTTCTTTACCTTCGCAATTCGAACTGCTAGCATTGTTACACTGTCTGGGGTTGACTTTGGCGTAAATGCTGTTGGAATGGGCGGGTTCACAGTTGAGGTTGCTTGGCTTGTCTCGTCGCTCACACTTCTGCCTCTCCTTCCAATGGTGTTGCGACCGGAAATGTTCTTGGAAGGCGGCGCAACAGATTCTGCTAGAAGACGATCGTCTGGTGGTACTGATGTTCCAGAAGACGGATATGAGGAGCCAAGAAGCGGTGCCGATGGACACCCGGGGCCTCTCTCCGATGCTCGTAGAGGACAACGTTTTGTCTTATTTGTGATATGCTGGGCTATGGGCTTTTGCCCTTTCTTCTCTCGCATGGGAGGGACTTTTGGTGAGTGGTGACACTATGTTAAAGGAACTCCGTCTGACGAATGCAGGCGAAAGCCGGATCGGGGATACGCCAAACACCGCCATAACGTTCGAAGAATGGAGCGTGATCGCAGGCGTCTGTTTCGAAGGCGTTAGTAATATCAGCTCACATGAACGCAATCTCACCACGGCGTTCGGCATTCTCAGCTATCTGCTGTTGTCCATTGTGGTCATCTCGAAAATCCTTTCCTCTGCTTTGGAGGACATGGATCATAAACAAGCCTGGTTGACAAAGTGCTGTTCTACGTTCGATGGAGGTATTGTTGGGTTGTATGCAAAATTGGGAATCGACGTTGTCGTCGCCATCGCACTTGTTGTGCAATTCTGGGCGTTTTTTCGGCTGCGACAACTACAAAGTGTAATGATACGAGCAGCTGGTGGGAGCTTCCCAGATGGGCAGTGGACTTTTGGTCAGATTGTCGCCACCGTTGTTTTTGTTCCCGTCGCTGCCGAGGTTATGTTTGTATGGAAAAGACGTTCACTGTATCTTGATAGAAGCATGTAGATGAAAGATTGAAGAAGATGTGGTACCAAGTTGACAGTGATATATGTGACGAAAGCGATGAGAATTGGGGTTTAATAAGAATTATGACATACTGGAAGTAGCCTTTGGTCCTACGAAGACATCATGAATCACCCTCACCCGGACCCTTGTCCTTGTAGTCCTTCTGATGTGCCAGTCGGTTTGTCTGTTCTTCAAAATAGTCATTTACATCGATCACATCCGTCGCGTTTCTCCGAATGAACTTCTTGTATTTTCCAATGTTGAGAGGAAACCCGTTATGAGCCGCAGCGGTGCTGCCCTTCTTGCGGACTCCAGACCAATGCTTTATACTATGACCGATGACAGGCAGCTCAGGGGGAAGAATGAACTTGTCTTCATCATAAGGTATTCCGCGGCCCGCAGGCTGATCATGGTAACCGAGATACTTTCTTTCCGAGTTCTTGAAGTCGAAGTTGCTCTCTGGTTCTGGCGCTGGTGCTGGTAATTCTTCTCCCGATTGATTATCAGCACCCTGCGCTTCTTCTGGCAGTTGTTCGCCGGGCTTATTCGTATCATCTGATGTTTCAGTGTCGCTTCCAGGTGGAGGTCTGACGTTTCTGCGATCTTGCAAGGTCCTGCGAGGATACGTTCCGATGAAATGACAAAGAACTGGATCAAGGACAGCAACACCCCTGGAGTAAAAGCGCCCGACAGTATGCTCCAGGGTGGCGAGTTGACACGCATTGATCTTGGTTTTGTACATCTGCATGACGATTTCGTCAATGAGTGGCTAAAACGTTGGGTGTATGGTCAGTCTATGTCTTACAAACAGGCATGCATCGGAAGAGTTCTTTCTTACCAGTTGCACGGATTTGGGCAGACCCAGCTGCAGCATAGCGTTGTAGAGATGGATTTTGTCGTCAAGTGCATCTGGAATTCTCATGGTGATAGCAACGTCAGGCCCTGTTGGCTGGCGTGCGCGCCTCGTCTCCTTAGGTGGTCTTGCATCGTCCTCTTTGTCTAATTCATCCCCTTTGCGATTGATTTGTTTTTCCACTTTTTGTAGCCATGGAATGACGTATTCGATGATTTCCTCCGGTCGTATAAACGCCATTTGGTCATCAGGTTGTTCGGCGAGTCTTTTTCCACTAACGCAAACATGATAGTTGTTATTGAAATCCTGAGTCGATAACTCGCCCAGAGCAGCATGATGTTGTCTCGGATAACGCACTGGCAAGTGAAGCGTATTGGCTCCCGGATTGTATGTGAAGTGATCATCGGCGAAGGTCGACCACTTCCTCAAAGTAGCGCGATCAACAGTCGTTGGAATAGGGTATGCGGTTTTCCGCCTGAACTTTTTGATGGTTTCATAATACCCCTCCCTCTCACAATAGAGCGTTCTATATTCTTGCTCATCGATAATGATTCGGACCTTATCAGTAGAAGCGTCCGCAGTCTTTTGGTTGTAAACGTCGACCTGGTCAATGTATCGATAATGATTCGCCAGATTCCGTGCTTCATCGTCTAAATATTGATCGTGTAGATCAACAACTCTTCCATTCGCATGATAAAGCACCATGGTATCGTCCAGATATTCGTCGGAGATGTCGATGCTCGAATTGGTGGCTCAAAGGGTGTGGTGGTGGTGTTCAGCAGGACTCGAGAACTCCAAGGTTCGCTGCCAAAAGACACCACTTCGATGCCGCGGACCCTTTGTTGATATGGAACTCTCTGACAAAGGCGAAAACTTCCGAAGCCATCGTCGCGAGGCATCACTTTCTTTGAACGCGCCGTGTTCGGCACAAAGCGCGTTTATCAACTCAGCCATACGGAGTACAGCACGCCAATCGGCCGCCATAGGGTACCGGATACGGCATTATGGAACTTCAGACGCGTGTTGATTCGTTGGTAATGATCATATGTTGATGCAAATGTGCACAGGCGTGAGGATTGTTGTTTAGGGAAGGTACTATGAACCGCTAAGAGGTTGTACCTCGGTTACGACGGATACGTCTAGATCAGCACTCACACACCTTGGAAGAAGACGCTGGATCAATGAGACCATACGCGAAGCGCTGCGAATTCGAATTATACAACCGGTGATGCATACTTGCATCTTCTTGAGTTCGCGCTCGTGTCACGATGATTCGATTGCGATGATTTTGAGTGATACTTTGTTTAGTAGTCGCATCCATCTAGTGTCCAATCTTCTCACCGCAGACTGCCCTTTCTATGCAGTGACCTGGGTACATCCACCCATCAACCTCCACCATCCTACTTTCCCCCATTCCCACCACAAGCCCTCTCCAGCGTCAAAAACGCAAAGTGCCCACCAACAACCGGCCTCGCAAAAAACCAAGGTCCAGGGAATCCACCATCACCTTCAGTAACATAAAGATCCGTGAAAGGGCGGTCCGTGACGGTCTCATTCAACCAAAGAGCCACCCGATCAAGAATCTCCGAGCGCACCTTCTTATTCGCAACGGCAGCGGCTTCGAACTCCCAGTCGGACTTGGTGTACAAATGACGAGAGTCGAGGGGAAGGCCGTATTTTTGCATCGCCGTGGAGTACCAGTCACTCTGGAGGTTGTAGATTTTGTCGGGGATGAAATCCTCGGTGATGGGTTCGCGGCCGGACGAGTGTTTGGATGGCGACAAGGGTCGCTGCGCCTGATTGTTTCCAGATGCGTAATCTGGCTGTTCTGAGATGGAAGACGAATTTGTGATGGTGGGGTGGAAGCAGAGTACGGCATCTGCGTAAAGCGAGTATAGAGTGGTCCAGCTACCGTACCAGTCGTACGCGAGTTTGGCATGTGTGCCATCGCGCGACATGCCGTATTCTTGCCACTTCTTGATGTACGTCTCGGAGATGTTGCGGTAATGCTTTGCGTCGCCGGGTCGATCCATGAGGTCTGCAATTTCACTGAAGGCTTTGATGCCGACGATGCCCTTCAGGGCAAGATTTGTTTGAAGCGGCAGCCAGCCAGCGAAGTCATCAGTGCAGACTATAATGTCGGTTAGCTTGTGTTTCGAACAACGGCGGGTCAATACTTACGCTGGTTGTGAGGCTCAAGAGCGTCTTCGACAAGATAGCCGGTCCATTGCTTCCACAGGTCATAGCTGCCTTCCAGCCACTTTTTCGCCTGATCGATACCCTTGGTACTTCCGCCCCAAGTCTCATCGATGTAGTCAACTCCGTCGTGCAGCCCGACGCCGTTCAGAGAGAATGCGTTGGCTGCATCAGCACTACGGTCTGCGTCGTTGCCGATAGCTGACCAGATGGACTGAGCTTGTGCGTCAGAGTTGTAGCTTAACGAGTTGACCAATGCTAGACCCATGATCAGCATATCGCCACACTCCTCAACAGGCATGTACTCGTCCCGTCCATCGGCGTGTCCTGTCAAATTAGGGAAATGTGCGCCAAGGTCATGCATCGAGTACTTGTTGGGATACTGGCCGGACAGCTGGTGTTCCAGAAGTGGCTCTAAGAGGTACGCCAACCACCTAGGTTGCGTATACAGGAAGAACGGGAAGGCCGGGAAGATGACATCGACTGTTTGACTGTTTCCATTGGACGAGATCTCTTTCAAGAAGAGCAACGGGTTGTCTTTGGTCCCGGAGAAGCTCGTGGCACCCATGACTTGTCGTGCAGACAAGGCAACGATGTCCACGTAGTTCGTCGAGCCAGATTGGTAGGCATCGATGCGCAGCTGCTCTGAGTAGTTTCCAGCGAGGCTTTTGGCCATTGCGAAATCGCCGTAATGGAATTGAATGAGCTTGTCGTCTTGAGGGAACCAGGACTTCCACAACGGCCGCATGAACGTGAGACCGCGAGCAGATGCATATTGTGTGACCGGATCTTGGATGTGGGTTATCGTAAACAGGACGCTGTCGCTGTTACTGCTGGATTTGGAGCCGGTAGTGGAAGAGTTTGCCAGCTTGAAGGCTTTCGCAAACGCAAACACGGGCTCTTCATCCATGACGGCACGGAAGTTCCCATCGACCTCGTTCTGCAAAGTCCCGGTTCGAGCGAATCGCTGGCGCAAGAGCGCGGATGTGCCCGATTCATGGCGCGCATCGACTGGCCCAGTAAAGTGCAGCTGACCCCACTCGGGCTGATCGTTCGTCTCGGTGAAGAGCTGCTCAACCTGTCGCTTGACTTGCCACGTCTTCAGCTTATCGTTCAGACCCGGCGCGACATGCTGGAACAAGCCCCATTCTATCAGGCTCTCCCTCTTGCCGCTGACCCATTGTCCGTTCACGTCCACGTATATGTTGACATCGAACGTTCCTTCTACGTGTATAGACAGGTATGCTGCCGGTATGGTCTGGCGCAAAGTCGAGGTCGGTGTAATGGGTGATAGGAATGACAAGGTGATCTCGACGTCTTTCGCTGAGCGGAGTGCATTGGGTGCGGGTATAGAGTACGTAAGGTTGGTCGTCGACGCGTCGTATTTAGCACCCCGGTATATGGGGTATGCTATCGCGTAACTATTACGGGTAGAAGTTAGCAATGGTTGCGCTCCGAGAGGTTAGAGTAAACATACTCTTTGTCCTTTTGCTCCAGAGAATCATGAGGTCGGCCGAGTAGCGGGTATACTTCGTTCGTGTCAGGGACCGACGCCATAACACTGAAGCCAACCTCAGATCCAGTCCAGAACATGGGCCATTTGCTCCATGGCTCTTCCCTTGCGTTTTGCAGCCATGTACTCAGATATGGGTTTCGCACGATCAACGGAAGGACGGGTGGTTGGAGAGTCGACGCATCTGCCACGCTTGCTAGGAGCGCCGCAGCGGCGACAGTAAAGGGACGCATGGTGGAGTTCAAGGACTATCGCCGCCAGATCAATACCAAAAGAATATGCTCGACGCTATGATGACGAAAACATGGGTTATGGGCTATTGTATACGCAAAGAAGCATGAAGCACGCAACAGTGTTGGAGCTGTCAGCTGGGATGGAAGCTCGAGGTAGCTGCAGTTTGCGGGGTTGTGGAGGAGCGAATCACGGCGTGGTGCCTTGCATCATCGTGCCGATCGGCAATCGTCCCACGTTTCATCTTACGCGTCCTGACCTCATGACATCTCAAATGTTGATTGAGTAGCGTACAGCAGCATCAGAAGCTTTCATGAACAAGCCATCGACCTCTTCACTTCACCGTGTACATTAATATCGCAATGTCAACGTGCCCGCTTCAGAGCACTTGCAATCACACTGCCCACCGCGGCTCTATCACGCCCCCAACATCACAGCAACCTCTGCGCATCTTCCGTACCGTCTGTTCGCAGCGATCCATCTGGCGTCTGTGATCCTCGGCGTTTCCAAGCAGATGCAATCACGCTCATCAATGCAGAAGCCGACCGACCTTGCTCTCTGCGCTTGAATGGCGGCGGAGTGGATATACCGTCCCGAACCGATTTGACGGGGCTGGGAGTGCGCACAGTCCAGTCGTCTAGTGGATACGCAGGATGCGGGTGGTATGACGTGGATGTCTCGAAGTCGTTCTTGATGGGAAGTGTAGGAAGAGGCCGTGAAGCTGGTTCTGGAGGCCCGAGTCTGATAGACGGTGGTATCGAGAGTCGGTAGAACGGGGTTGGTGTGCGGACAATGCCATAGCGCTGTTGTGCATTCTCATCCGCATGCTCACCTGGCAGATCTGCCTTCGGGCCTGGTGCACCGCGTGGAATGTAGGCACGTGGCGGCTCTGTATCGCTCACAAGTCGTAGTGATGCTCTGTGGGTAAAGGGTTTTCTCCTCCCCGCTGATGTGGATCGTGTAGGGCTTGACGAACTCCTAGTCTGTCCGCGTATGCCTGTAGCACTCGCAGCTCGTCCATCAAAGTTCTCTTCGCAGTCCTGAAAGACATCTTCCGAATCCCTGCTCATGGCGCTACAGGCCCTTATGCCCTCGATGGCTTCATCGGTACCACCACCTTCGTTCGGCTCTATCACAGGGAGGTCGTTCTCTTCGCCAGCAACACCACGATTTTGATCAAGCAGCCCCAACTCGCGCAGTTGATCCCAGCTGCGACAGTAGTATCGGAATGTCACAAAAGGCTGATCGATAGGGTCGATGAGGGCGAATTTGTAAAAGCGTTTCGGATGCTGCGGTCCCGCAGGCCCAGCGTTTACAAGGCTATCGAGGTTAGCATAGTACGTGCGT